TGAATTAAAATCGCTAAATAATCAGTGTTAATATCAGTTAATATCACTAAATAAGTAGTGTTAATATCAGTTAAAATCGCTAAATAATCAGTGTTAATTTCATTTAAAATCGTTAAATAATTGGTGTTAATATGAATTAAAATCGCTAAATAATCAGTGTTAATATCAGTTAATATCACTAAATAAGTAGTGTTAATATCAGTTAAAATGGCTAAATAATCAGTGCTAATTTCATTTAAAATCGTTAAATAATTAGTGTTAATATCAGTTAAAATCGCTAAATAATCAGTGTTAATTTCATTTAAAATCGTTAAATAATTGGTGTTAATATGAATTAAAATCGCTAAATAATCAGTGTTAATATCAGTTAATATCACTAAGTTATTAGTGTTAATATCAGTTAAAATTGCTAAATATTCACAAGCCAGTGACCTCTGTGTTTATGGAAGTAAACATGGAAGTTAGCACTGGAGTCGGGTATTAATGGCGTTCAGGTGGGATGAATGCGACCTGGCCGTTCAGACACAGGTCGCATTTGAAAAGATCAGATTCGTATCGTATTCAGGACCACAGAGCCAGGCGGCCTGGATCACATTGGAACAAATCAGATCTGTGTTGTTCAGACTGCCATGAAAAGATCAGATCCAGGTCACATCTGGGGGAAAAACTGATTCGGGTCACTTCAGGCTGCAGTGTGAATGCAGGCTTAGCCTTAGAAATAGACTTAGATCATTTTTATTGTCATCAACCTTTCTCATCACATTTTAACCGACATCTGCCTCATTTTTACCTGCTTTTGATAGAATGTAAATCACTCTAAATCTGTCAGATTTACAAATAATTTTAACTGCAACTTGTCACTTCCTTTGTAATCTATTTCATATGAAACCCACTAACTGAGTGACAGAGTATGAAAGCTCATTGCTGAGAATGTAGGTTCTGTAGAGATAACTTTGTTATAACGACACGCTGCGTTTCTCTCCCACTCCAGAACTTATCAGTTAAATGAAAAAATACTTTTATCATCATACAGTATACGTACCTGCAGCATCAGACACTGGATGTGTGTAAATGTGTTTGATTTTTTCAAAAAGACTTGAAATTATGTAAACTTTTATAATCTTTCTTATTAAAACAATCAGAATTGTTCAAATTCAAACAAAGTTTAATGCTAAAGGGGTTTGCAAATTAAAGCATCTAAAGATCTCAATGTTTGGCCCATAAATATCACCACAATCAAGAACTCTGGGGAATAAAAACCGTCTCTCTAGGATGAAACGAAGCAGCTGTTTCCTTCCTTTATAGAAGGCAGATCTATCAATCCTGAACGGCCTTAAACCTTCGGAATCAGAGCGACGACATTAGAAAGTTGGAACAAAATCAGTTTTAAAAGACACAAACCTGGTTAAATCACCAACATTTATACACAAGCTAAACATTAGTGAATGGAGTTTAGTCTGCATAATTTTAGTCATTAAAGGATGGAACCACCCTGAACACTCTGTTTTAAAGATGCATCTGAGATCCAGTAATGCTGGATGGAACAGTCTTAATTAAATTAGAGAAGACATGCAGCCTCTGCAGGCGAACAGGATGTACCTTCAGCGTCGGGTGAATCATCTCCTGACTCTCCAAACGGATTACTCCTCCTGCAGAAACACAGGTAGTCGTGTTAATCCGTGACAAAAACAAACCCAAACCTCAACTAAACCTGAGGATTATATTTTTTTCCTCTTTCAAATCCCATAGAAATACATCAATGACCTACTTTAAGAGGAGTCAGGCTTTCTATGGTTTTGCTATTCCACCACAGTAAAACTACACTCTCTTCCAATCCTTGGAAAAAAAAAGGTGAATTGTTCTATTTCACCATCAATCGTCAAACTATCTTTAGTTAAGCCCCTGTCACACCATGAAAGTTTAGACCTGACGTACGGAAAATCTGGAAAAAACGCTGGCATACGTTGGATAAGTTATGAGCACGCTGAAGTACGCTGAAACACGTAGACATACGGCGAGTACGTATGCCAGCGTATGCTTTACGTGGGCCATCAGTTCCAGGTCAGCTATCTGATGGTTGACATCCGTTCAGTGTCAGTTCCTCATCAGTCGTGGCGTCTAGCTTATCCTAAACCTCTGAGTAACTTGTGCATAACTTCTGCGTAACTTATCCAGAACTTCTCTCCAACATATCAGCGTATCTGACGTGTTCCAGACGAGCGCTAAACGTGTTTCTAACTTCCAGCTACTGTATAATGGCGTATTGGCAGCGTTTTGGTATAAAGGGGGTTCACAGGAGGAAACCATCAGTTCTCCTCCAGACTTCATCCCTATCATAGGGTGAGCCAGAAGGGGAGGGTGATGGATCCTCTCTGCGTTCTCGCCCACCACCAACAACCTTCCTAGCAGACATGACGCCCAATCTGCTGCCACCAGAAACCTTCTTCCTTTCTATTTCTTTTTTTTTTTGTTGATGGGTGGTAAACAGGAGCTAGATTAATTCTGCGATCAGAGAAATCTTTTTCTGCAGGCCGGGTGCATCGCTGCCCCCCTCAGGACACTGTGCATCATTTCATGGGCATTACCGTGTGTTATGCAGAAGTTAGGCTGTTGTGAGACAGAAGTTCTAGACTTATTATGAATACTCTATGTTTACGCCCAGAATGGAAACAATTAGGGATGGGGCGATTTATGAAAACCGTCCGAACCATTCGGTTTGACTGTCTCAGTTCGATTCGCATGTGTTTCGTTCGGTTCATCCGCTGCTCCTTTTTCTCATAGGCGAAGCATTTACACTCCAGAGCAGAAGGTGGCGGTACTGCGACCAAAGCCAACCGCCAGTAGTAAACAAGAAGAAGAAGAAGCGAAGCAGCGTAGCCGGGTGTAGCAGAAAAAAATCAGTTGTTGTGGAGAATTGTGTGGGTATGGCGAGTGGGAAAGAACAGGAGTTGGAAGACGCGCCAGCAGCACTTTATAGGTCTGCTGTATGGGACCACTTTGCATTTAGAGAGACCTACGATGACGGCGGAAAGAAAGCTGTGGATAACAGTGCAACAGTGCAAGCATTGTGCAACAGGTTTTGTTTATGCTAACAGCAACATGACCAACATGTCAGGCAAACAATCATATACCAATCATATAAACATATACCGAACCGAACTGAAAACCGTGACCACGAAACCGTGAACCGAACCGAACCGTGGATTTTGTGAACCGTTCCACCCCTAGAAACAATCCATAGAAAGTTCAGCGTCTGCCAGCGTTTTAGGAGATTCTGGGACTTCAGGCAGACGCTGGATAAATCAGCAGGGTGTGACAGGAGCCTCATTAGAGACTGAATTGGAATTGCCCACATCGAGTCTGCAATCATGCAATTTAAAATGAAATGCATTTGTGTGAAAATGAATTTCAAAGAATGGAAAGTTTGATTTAATACCAGTGTCAGATACATCCACATGATTTTAATAAACACAGTAAAACTCATTATCAGGGTGTTTATCCCACACAGAAAAGGATTAAGTGTTTTCTCAGGCACCTGCCGGGCTGTGCCGCCGTCTTGCTCTGACCCGAGTTCTCCTCTGTGACTGGGGAGATGATGTCAAACTGGATGGGCGTATCCGGAGCAACCAGAGCGTCCAATGAGAGGACAGAGAGGGCAGGCGACGGCTCAGAACCAACGGAGCTGATGCTGCTGGTTCGGCCCGTTCGGCTCTTACTGGAAAAAAAACACAAAACAGAAACAAAATCAGACGTAGGCAGACGAGTTCATGTTTAACAGATCCACCCTTAACTGCAACAATAAAAAAAAAAAACATTAAAATCAATCCCCTGGACTTTGTTTCCAAGTTTGAAGGTGTTTCTCTTCCATCCAGGAAGCTTTTTCAATTCAAAATGTCAGAAATAGCGTTGAGTTCCAGGTTTTATCCAGCAGCCCAACAAAGCCTGGTTTATGTTTAGAAAACATGCAAATAGAAACGGATGAACGGGTCCCCCCCCCTTTGGAATGGGGGTCGTTTGGCTTCTTTGTTAGCCTGCAATGGATGGAAGAGAAACGTCTTCAAACTACGAAACAAAGTCCAGTGGATTGTTTTAATTTTTTTTTTGAATGACTCTGACCTGCATGACTGAGAATCTTCACCAGCAACCATAACGTTACATTTATTTATTATCAATGTCAATACAATGCAGTAGAAATACTGTATGTTCTTTGAGTTTTTACAAATTTAAATAAAATCTTGCCACACAGATGAGGCCATGTTGTTTACGCTGCAATGCATTCTGGGTAAATGACGTATTCTATGTCCTGTAGCACTAGCTCTGTCCAGCTAAAACAGCAATGATGGGAACTGGCTGTATTAAACACATGTAAATAAACCCCCCCCTCCCCCCCTACCTGCTTGGTCTCATGCTCTCGTGTCTCTGCTGGAACGAAGGCGATGGCGTCACAGCTTCCAGGGCTGTTTGGTTCACTCTGGCTGCCAGCTCCTAACAGAAACACAGCATCAGAGCTAATTGGCATTAATCTGTCCTCTGGAGGAGTCCAGAGCAGGGATGGACGGAATTTGTTCATGTTCCTGTATTTTCATCTTTCTTTTTATTTATCTTTTGTATTTTCTGTAAAGTGACCTTGAGTGTCAAGAAAGGTGCTGTTAAATAAATAAAATAAATAAATGTATTATTATTAAAAAACAGAAATGAAGTTTTATAAAAAGTTTTTTGTGAAAAATATTTAAATATGTTTTAAAATATTTCCTCATGCTCAAATTTAGTTTTTTTTTAATTTCATTTCAGGTTTTAGATTTGTATTTTTTTTTTCAAATTTTTCAGGTTGAGTTTTGCATTTTTCGTATTCTCCTGCAAACGCTCGCTCTTGGCCAATTAAAAATGCTGTTGCTAATGCAAACCAATAGCAATGAAGCTTTCCTTGTCACTCCAGAAGAAAACCCGCCCCCAACTATCAGGAACATGTCACCTGAAAAATGCAATTTGAAAAGAATGCAATTCATAAATATCAATCTAAAAAAGAGAAATTTGGAATAAAAATAAAGAATGTTAATTATTATTGGAACATATAAAATTAGAAAAAAATTAAGTTTAATAACTATTTTATCCTCAAATATTATTTTTTAAAATAAAAAAAATAATATTTGAGGATAAAATAAAGTTATTGTTTTGTTTAAGATGATATTCATAGTTTAAATTCTGGACTGCATTTTTTTAAAAGTTAAATTTATTCTAATAGAATAAAATTGACTCCATAAACGTGACAAACTGGTGAAGGTAGCGTTGGATGTTTATTTTCAGTCCATATGGAGTCAGTTAAGGGAAAAATCCGGTCATATTCAGAACTTCTGAAAGTGTTTTAAAAATGAAATTATTACATCCTGTTCAATAAAATTAAGTAAAGTACATTTCAAATCCCAGTGCTGTATCTGGTGTTTGTCACAATGCGCTATTATCCAAGTCATCTTGAAAACATTCTTCTTCAGAATGTTGGCTACATATTACTGCCGAAAGATGGCAGGAGGGAGGGGTTACTATATTTGGGCAAAAATGGCCGCTTCCAGACTCAGTGGCAAAGATTACTATTTTTATTTTTTTTATTGATTAACGCTAAATTCATTAAATCACTGAAATGTATTAGTTTTAGGTATAAATAATGATCCATTGATTAATCCTTGCTGACCGGACGTTTTCATTAAAGTGGTGATAGAATGATTCTATAGGGTATTTGGTCCTTAAGGTCTCTAATAGGGTGTGTAACATTGGTTGGGCTGAAAATGGCATATTTGCTGTTCTATGAGCCCTAATGCATTCTTCCTTTTATGGTATGCTGATGAATATTTAGAAGAGCTGTGCTCTGATTGGTTGGTTTACAACGAGCCATGCTGCTGAGCAAAGATGCATCATAGCAACAAGCACTCACTCACTGAAACATCAGATTGTTGATACTGTAGGGTGACCAGACGTCCTCTGTTTCACTGACATGTTCTCCTTTTCAGACCTAAAAAAAGTTTGGGGTTTTGGTCGACTACAGGGCAGCAGAGATGAGCCGTCAGCTCCTAATTGACGTCAACTCTGTGCTTCGTTTGGATTCGCCCGTTTATGGCGGATGTTTAGAATAGTGAGATTTGCAGAGAAAGGAGGTGTTGATGGAGTTTGAACTTCTCTGTACGTCCATTTCACCCACTGAACCATCGTTATTCATCTATGGCAATGGAAACTGGGTCTAAACATGAACCATGTGTGAAAACAGACACACACCTCTGCATTTTCACTCAGGTAGATCCTCCTGGAGATGTTGTTGATGGTTGCGATCCACTGTCAGAGGAAGACAAAGAGATTTGAATCTAAAATGATCAGCTAGCAGAGAGCGGGTTAGATCACAGGAAACGGTTTTACCTCTTCGCAATCCTTCCTGCTCTCCGCCTGCAGAGTCACAACCCTGATGAGACAAAAAGTAACAAAATAGATTTTTAAATGATAAAATAGGAAACACTGAGAGCAACAGATGAAGGAGATGCTGCAAACACACTTTTTCCCGTCAAAGGAGGTGACCTGGAAGCAGAATCGACGGTCGTCAGAGTCGACGGCCATGACGGAGCAGTTGTCGAGGTCGGTGACCAGGCCGCCCGCCACCTCGCCTCGACCCTGCTGCATCAGGTTTCCCCCCTGGGTGAAGAAGTACTGACGCTCCCAGGATGACGACACCAGGCCGGTTTTACTGCCAGAAACGCAGCGGAGACGCGTTTAGATTCAAATATCCAGGAAAACCTGCAGCTTTCTGTTCGTTTATAGAAACACTTTGATCTAAGGAGCAGATGTGTTTATGCTACATTCACACCGAGTGTCGTCCAGTTTATAAAGACAGTTAAAGTGGACGAGTGCTGATTGGCGTGGAGACGTCCGGTGGAGCGCCTCAACCATCAGGTGACTCAGGTCTTGAAGCGTTTCGAGCAATCGGGCGCAGCGCATCAATGCGCCTAAAGGATGGTTCAAAGGTCCAGACAGTCGAGTTGGAAAATCTGGATTTGTTATCTTTAACATTGTGATGGTCGCATGTGCAACCACACAACAAACGGTCTGATAATTCTTTCATTTCAATAAATCTTTTACATTTTACTGCACTGTATTTCACTTTTTTACTTTGACGTGGCATTGGTTAACCACTTTGGTGCACACATTTAGTTGACTCATTTTGTAATTTCTTGCCTTTTTGGTTTACTGTAATTATAATATAACAATATTATTATTATTTATTTATAATTACTGTCATTTGAGTAACCAGTCCCTGACAGGCTGTCATGTGAGGCGGCCAGTAAAGGAAAGGAGGCCTCAGCTGTGAAGGATCTCCTCAATTCATGGGCTGCATCCTCCAAGGACGCGGTCTACCTGGACTGGATCCTTCCAAGTCCATGAAAATAAGGAGACCGGAAGAGTTTTGGCTGTGGATTCAAACAGGTCCGGCCTTCCAAGCTTTCTCCACCCTATGCTCTGTCGCTTAGCAACCATGAAAGTTGACACAAAGCAGGAAAAGAATGGATAACAAACTTTTCAAAACTGTTTCTTTTTAATTTTTTTGTTTGTAAAGTGGAATAAAGTGGCCAACCACAGGGAGCATGAACAAATAAAAGACTATAAATCACTCTCAAAAACTTCAAAGTTCCATTTTTTGAAAAACATCGTCCTCAGATCTTTTTCAAAACATGTTCTTACCCTTTCAGTAACACTGAACTAATTTCTTCCTTTACTAGGCCAGGTTCTTCTGCCAGGATCTTCTCTGTGAGGAATACCTTCAGGTTTCCTCTAAGACAGAGTTGGTTTCAGCCATTCAGTGCTTTAGCTCCGCCCCCTGGGGATCAGTAGGGACTAGTGATGGGTGCAGTAACACAGCGTGGAGCCATTAGAGCTAAGCACTATATCCAGTTGTTTCTAACTGACTGACTCTCTAAACGGTCTGAAAACGTCTCTGTTAACATGATGCAGTTGATTAAAAAAAAGTCTCATCTTTTGCTGTTTCTCATTAAAATGATCAAGAACTTTGGAGCCTAAAAGGAATAGGAACATTTCAGCCGTTGCGTTTTTATTTTAATGTTCTCGTGTTATCCTTTTCCTCTCAGTTATCACTCAACTTATCTGAATTAAACTTTATTTCAAATTGATTCTTAGTTTATTTAATGTTTTTACTGAGCTTCAAGATGCCTCATTAACATCACTAGTAGGGATGAGACTGAAGGAAAGGTTTGTGTCGCTATGGTTCTATTGATCTCAGAGCTTCTCCGTCTCTCTGAATCCTAGTTTTCATTGAGAAGAATTTGTAAGATCAGAAGCTTTGATGATGTCAGAATATCTATAGATCTATGTGTTCCTCTGATGCGTCACACGTGACTCTGGTATTATAACATGAAAGGCGCTAAGGGAACTCTCAGTACTTCCAGCCGTCTGGTGGTCTTCCAGGATTCATAGAACCGTAGTTACAAACAGAAAAGCTGCAGGTTTCTAAAAGTTTAACCAACCGTTTCACACTGATTAAAGTGCGCCTTACTTGCGGATGAATAGGTAGCCTTGTTTCCTGGTCAGGCTGCGACAGACCGGCGAATGGGCGGGGTCAGGGTCACACGGTGCATAAAGAGCGTCACATGACCTTTCCATCTGTTGGATGGTCTGCTGCATCTGCCCCACCTCTTCCTCCATCTCCCGACGTACGCTGCAGACACGATAAAGTGTTTATCTCCAACTAACTGCTCAGCAAAGAACCAGACACAGAATCAGGCTCTTACTTCTGGACGCTGGTTCCGATGGTTCCCAGGAAGTCTTCCCACTGCTGGGTGAGGTTCTCTGACCCCAACTTAAAGAAGCTGATCTGAACAGAAAAAATATATTTTAACTCAAAACCAACTTTACTCTCGTTTTAATCAAAGGCTTTAACCTTTGGTAGATGAATGTTCTGTTATCCTGAGCTATCTCTAGTTATGCTGCTATAGGCTTAGACTGCTGGAGGACATAGGGACCCCTTTTTCATCATTCAGCATTCGTTCATAGTAGCTTCAAACATTAAGAAAAAAAGCATATTTCCCAAATAAATACAACTTTAATATATTCTTATATAAAATATTTGTTAATCAAAGGTGCTACAGAAGAACTGTGCAGCAGCCAAAGACTATTTTGCTACTCAACTACTCTTTTGATTATTTTATAATCGGATAGCAAAGGTTCCTTAAAGCAGATTTTTTACAGAATTCAACCAAGTGAAACAAACCTTTTTCAGGAGTTCTGGGTAGAATATATTAATGGACAATTTTTATTTCTTTAATCTTAAACACAAAATATTTATATATTTTTTTACAATCTTGTGGATCTCTCTGTCAGCTAAAGGCGTGTTTTAGAGTCTCTATACTCCAGTTAATTATTAATTGATTACTAAATTAATTTAGGATACTTTCAATAATGGATTCATCCGATAAATTTTTTCAGCCCTAGATGGAACAATTTTTTATCTAAAAAAAAAAAAACAATCAACAATTAATTTTCTTTACATCCCATATACAGACATACATTTTTCTAAAAATATTCCTGTATAAAATGAAATTTCTGTCCTATTCTTGGGTCTGAACAACAGTGAGGAGAGTTTGGTCTCCCTCTAAAACTGTTAGGATTAATAAATTCACCAGAGCCATAGTTTCACCGCCACATTTTCTGATATCAAGTACATTAAGGTTTACTGTGTTTGACTTGATGCTGCTACAGGATCTACTGAGGGACAGATGCCTCGCCAGTAAAAATGTGGAACTGGAGTCACAAGGATTGAAATCAATCCAGAGGGCAGTACATGTGAAAACACGTGAGTGTGAGTGCGTTTGCACAAACCTGGGCCTGCATGTAACCCAGCAGTGGTTCCAACAAAGCCGTCTTTTTCTTGTACTGCAGGGTGTTCAGGGCACAGAAGTAGTGCATCATGGTCTGGTGCTGCTTCTTGCGTGAGGTGTAGACGTCCTCCACCACCTCCGCTCTCACCTACAGACAAAAGGAAAAACAAACGTATTTATGGGTAGGATTTACCACTGAACGGGGGAGCTGAATCCATTTTAATTTTATATAAAGCTTTAAAGGAAAAGTCGGGTCAGAGTCAAAATTCAAACTTCTGAAAGTCCTTTAAATATGAAATTATTCCATCCTGTTCAATAAATGATCAGTGTTTTTATTTCAGAGTAATTCTCATTTAAATGTTGTTTACTGGAGGCATCCATGTTTGTCAAAGAACACTACTGCCACCTACTGGTTTGTGACGTCACGGTGCGGTATCGGCTGTTGATCAAGTCCCAGTGCTGTATCTGGTGTTTGTCACAACGCGCTATTATCCAAGTCATCTTGAAAACATT